AGTGGTGAGGATTACAACTCACTTATTCAGAAATTACTGACATTGAAGCAGCATTATTGAGCTGTAACTGAAACAAAAATAAATTCAGACATGCAAATCACACAGCGCAGCAAAGACTGTGGGAAAGGCAGATATGCAGGCGTCATCAACCAGCACAAAGAAAAAGCTATCATGTAGCATGCTTCATGTCCTGAGGAAAAAGATTTTATGCGTTACAGCTGATGACTGCAATCATCTTTCCTGTTTTTCAAAGCCTTTTACGTAATATTGGTAATATTATACAAAGTGCCAATCTGTGTAACCTCATGTTTCTCTACAGCCACATAAGGCTTCTTTTCTGCACTTTGCTCCGGTGTGTCTTCAAGTGACTCCTTTAGGAAATGAAATGCTGTGCTGGGTCATGTTTTAGGACATTTTTTCACAGTAGTCTGGTCAAGGGCAAAGTCAGCGGCCCAGGGATGATCAGCGAAGCTTTTAATCCTGCACTGTGCCCGTTTTGGAAGCAGGAACCCCTGGCTGGTACAGTCTGATGACATGAGGATCAAACAGATGAACTGTAAAATGATTTGGGCTCATAAGACCCGGCCGGTATGAAGTTGATCTACTGCACCTACACCAGTGGTATAAAGCTATTTTAGATTTCTTTGGGACAAAATTACAACGAGCTATAACAAAGAATCTGCCCAGAATTATCTGTGATCTAGTTTTATTTTGATATGGCAGGTGAGATAATGGATATCAGATGTCATTATGCCAGGTGTACTGATATCTTGGCATTGAAGGAGACATATCGTATTCATATTCAGCTTGATTCTGGCATCGTAAGCAAAACAACAGATCAAACCGTTCAGTGATGTAGCAGAGGTTAAAACTCGAGGTGTGTTTGTTCATGTATTTGCAAACAGTAAAAAAAAACTGACGTACTGATGGTTTTGCTCAAGAGTCCACATGCCCGCGCGTTGTCCGTTTATCATGCATATGCAAGAACAGGTGTCAATATTGTTTCCTGGCAACTATGGTAATCAGCTGCACTTCACACAAACAACAGATCCGAACATCCAACAGGTGTGAGATAGAGTGGACCAACTCTCGTTTTGACTCTGTCACATGCGTCTCAGGAAAGCATGACTTGGATTCTGCGGGCGAGGAACGCTGTACTCACTCTGTGCATTCCCTTGACACTATCGTTCCTCGATCTTTCATTATCTTCACATTGACTTTAATGTCCCTTTCATGCATGCAATTAAGTCGCTGTTTCTGAACAAAATGAGGCCAACTTCAAAAGTTGGAGCTTTTGCTTTGAAGATGTGGCACATTTCTGCTGGAGAACGTGTTCATTTGCTGGAGAATTAACGTCACTGCACAGTGAGCAGGACTGCGTATCCTCGGGCCCTGACACCATCAGAGGCAACCTGCACCAACTTTTGTGGAAATCCATCCAGGAGTTTTCTCAAAATCTTGCTTACAAACCAACCAACCAACTGGAAATGGAAATAAAGATAATCATTATTATTATTATCGGTACCTAAATGTTAAGTAAATAAAAAGACAACAGAAGTAGTTTAAACCACATATTACTTCTTTACCCAGACACAACACCAGATGCCTGCATCTATTTGTCCGCTGGAGATCAAAGTCATTTTGAATCCGTCAGCCTCGATGGTCAAGTATAAACACAATAGCTCCTCCAGAGGAAACTCCAGCAGTGTGAAGCTGTGAATGGAAATCTGCTGCATGGACCTCAACGGTCCCGACACCTGATACCACCACCACCCCCCCCGGAGATTCTGGAGGACGAAGAACAGTTAAAAACAGACAAAACCCACGTTTCCTCTGACACGCCAACATTTGCGTCACTTGAGGGTTTGGAGCATTAAACCACCAGACAGTTTTCCAGTCAAGGGTGTCATTTTAAAGGCTCGCCACACTTAGTCAAATGGGTGAACATTAGAGAGGATCTACCCCGTGATCTGTGGAGGGAAAAACAGCAGTGGAGGATAATCCGACACCGTTTCATTTCTCAAGACGTTCTGATATTCGGGGAGAAAGCTGCTCCCTCTCCTCAGTCCAGTCACATTTCAGGATGAGCATGTGGTACAAACAGTATCTGAATGCTCATCTTCCTAATTCCACAGTTATGAGGTGGTCGAGGACCCTCAGGAGTGGCCGGCTTTTTCCTTTTCTGCAGAAAGCATTCCTCTCTAATGATAGGGGAAGTTACGAGAAGGTCCCTGCAAACACTGAAGCAGGAGAAAACACCCAACCTAAATATGGGCCTCTTATTAAGACCGGCCGACCCCAAAAAGAAAAAGAAAAAAAAAGCTGTGATCTTCAACACAACATGCGATAAAGGACACGAGACATGAAACTGCCCTGCCTCCGTCAAATGATATGTGTGCTGGGTGGGACTGGAGCAATAAAAGCAGATATGAGGTGATGAAGAGACGAGGGTGGAGATGGTTGTGTGTGGAGCAATGTTTTGTTGTGGGCGAGGATCATGAAAAGCTCTGAAAGAAAACAGAATAAGTCACTTCCAGCAGCACACAGACACAAACCCTCCTCTACAGAGTTTTCCAGACAACTGACGTCCTAAACTGTGATAATAACACCTACTACGAATGTCTACACCCACACAAACACATTCAACTCTTAAATCAGAGCCGTAACGAAAACTACACCAGTCTTTGTGAGTATTTTATCTCCGTATCAGTAATAATCTCGACCCGAAAACGTAGATCTCGATGTGATGTGTGTGTACTGGTGTAAACAGGAAGCGGATTGTTTGCTCTGCTCGGTTACAGAAAACACTACGAACCAGAAGCAATGGTGAAAAGTAATTTCTTTTCTTGGACCGATTATAGAGACGATATCGGAATCTGAAATGTCTCCAGCTCCGTCGAAAAAACATCAGCGAGCAAACAAATCTATGTCCCAATCCAACACTACATCTCTGAAGAGTATTAGTTCCACAAGTAAACCAGTGACGTGTACTTTGTGTAAAACTGCAGTTTCAAGTCTTCTTTTAAAGGAGGTAGTTGTTTAATCCTAGATATATTTATTTAAATTCTTTTTCAGTTTTTCAAATGCACTGGTGTCAGAGCGGTGCTGCTCATCAGCCAGGAGTAAAGTCCAGGTATCAGAATCTGTATCTGGAAGGAAAAATGGCAAATAAATCTTTATTTTTCCTGCTTTTCGAGACTAGAACGATAAAATCAAAGAGCATCTAGCATCATGAAGAACGGAGAGACAGGTTCAGATCATATCGGCTCTTTATACCTGCTCAACATCTCAACTACACAGAGACGTTCTCCTCTCTTCCGTCTTCTCACACTGAATTATTCAGGGAGGAGAGGAGGATACGACTTCTAGGTCACTATCCTGGGAACAAAAAGATAGATACGTCTTAAAGTTAGCACACGCAACTGCAAAGCATCGATTATTTATGAGACATGAGGAGCTGCTTTATCATATTTGTACCTGAAATCAAGGCTGGGCGATAAAAATAAATTCACCGAATCACAGACATCATCAAATTGAACTAAATTCACTGTTCTCGCAAAAAATAGTCCGTGTCGTAAAATGAGGATATGAATTATCTCATGTAAGATTCGGATACTGATGAATAATGGAAGGATTGAAAATGGGATTTGTTTTACATTAAATACAAACATGAGGAAACATCTTGTCTGTCGGTTTAGAAGAATATAAAATTCTCAAATTGGAGGATTTTTATCAACATTGAGCTCTGGGATAAATATAATTTCTAATGGGCCTATTGAGGAAACGTGTAAGAAAAAAACTTCTTCATCGACGTGCATTCAGTGTTTTCATAGTTCCGATCAAAATAGTTTGAATCTAAATGTGGATGTGAGTTATTCAAACTTATATTTATAACTTCAGTGTTCGGAGACTGATACAGAAGCTGAAAACTTGTGTTTCCTTTAGTATTTGTTTGGATAAATAACTTTGATTGTTGGAAGCTCCTGTGTCTGGTCTCTTCTGAGAACACAGTTCACAGGTTATCTGCCGCTACCCCAACACCAGGCAGCAAGTTTTCTTAGGTTGACTTTTATCTCTTGAGATTTATGCTGCAGGTTCTTGCCTCCTCTGCCTCCAGTCAGCTGGGAGCTGCAGTTTCCCTCCTTCTATCCTGCAGGGCCTGGTGCCTTGCTCAGACTGCCGTGCATTCTCGTTTTCTCCTCGAATATAAACTATGGTGCAAACAAAACTCAATTATTTTTTTTAAAACAGTATAAAAAAAAACGTGTGGTGTTGCTTTTCTTCGCCTTGCATGAGTGAAGTCATCTCCTGGCTGGATGCTGCAGCTCACCCTGCAGGCCACTCTCATGAGCTCAGACTGGACAAAGACAAACTTCACATGCTCTGGTTTCATTTGTCGTGATACAGGTTAAATATAGATCGGAGCTGATGCTGTTACTGATTCCACTGCTCTGCCCTGAAGCCTGGTCGGCTCGGTCTGCAGCTCCACTCCTGCAGCCCGCTGGCTAACTTGCTAGGAGGCTAATCCCTGCTGGCAACTTCTCTGACGGGGCATGTCCGCACGCAGGCGCGTATTTGCGCACAAACGCCGCTGAAACTTAAAAACATTTTACGCGTCTTCTCTCAAATCCTCGGCCGCGGTGGACGGACCAGCTTGGTCCCGGAGCCCCGGAGGAAGTTTGCAGAGGGGGTTCGCGAGCACAAGAGCCACAATGGCGGTGCGCGTTTTCTTTGGAGGCAGCAAAGCGCACGGCGGACAACAACAATGACGCACAGGCGGACTCGCTGTGTGCATGTGCGCAAGTAAACTCAAAGTAAACTGCGCAGAGAACACAAAGACTCCTCTTCCCTCGACTTTGCAGCGGTTGTAAGTTTGCGCCATGTTGACTGCGCCTGCACAGCCACCCTTCCTCCTCCTCCTCCTCCTCCTGCTGCTGCTGCTCCAACATTGTTTCCAGAATAACAAAAGCTGCAACAGGAGCCATGAGAGCGACACTTACCTTGGCGATCGCCTTCTTGTACCTCATGACCGCCTGCTGGATGAGCGTGAGCACCTTGATGTTGCCGTCCCCGCACGGCACCACCACCCGCGTCCGGCCAAAACACACCGTGACTTTCATGGCTCACGGTCCCGGGGTCTGCGCCCAGAGATCCGGAGTCAAACCCGCGGCGGCGGCGGCGGAGGAGGAAGAGGAGGAGGAGGAAGAGGAGAAGCCCGTGTGGAGGCAGGAGGAAGGAGCATGGGTTTGTCGTCTGTTCGTCTTTAATCCGTCACTGGAGCGAGGAGCGCGGCTCTTTACGCGTCGCTCCGCCGGACGACATTGTTCTGTTTCCAGACCACCTGTTTGTCTCTCTCTCTCTCTCTCTCCTTCTCTCACTCACTAGATACCAACCTCGCTCTCTCTCGCGCGCGCTCTCTCTCTCTCTCTGCTGAGCTAATGCTCG